GTTCGCAGTGAGTGATTTGTGAGTGATTCGTGAGTTCAATATGAATAAATATTTAATATGACTCGGTAGTCACGAGTCACGAATCTTTCATATGACTCGGGAGTCACGACTCATATGAAAGATTCGTTCATTTTGAACGAATCACTCGCGAACGACACATCACTATTCTACACGTTTGACAGCAGAGACGGACCTCACGGTGTTAGCTTGATGTGAGCAGCCGTATTGCTGCATACTAGTAAACACTATGCGACAGAATAACGCACACGACAAATAAATACAATGATGATATCCGAGTACGCACCACCAGGTGTCGTGCTGAACAGGGTTCCTCCAGGAGTGGTGGAGTAGAGCCCTTATATAATCTAACAACATTTGACTGTAGAGCTAAGTAGTAAAAAGGCTGTTAGCAGTAGTGATTTTGTTTGCGAGTGATTCGTTCAAAATGAACGAATCTTTCATATGACTCGTGACTCCCGAGTCATATGAAAGATATTTTGAACATATATCATACATATTGAACTCACGAATCACTCACTGCGAACTAATCACTCACTGCGAACTAATCACTCACTGCAAACAAATCACTCTCTACGAACTAATCTTTCACCGTGGACTGATCTTTCACTGCGAACTAATCTTTTACTATGAACAAATTACTCTCTGCAAACTAATCTTTCATTGTGAACTAATCTTTTGCTGTGAACTAATCGTTCGTTATGAACGAATCACTCTCTGTGAACTAATCTTTCGCTTCGTTCTCGCAGATTCGTTTCATTTGTCACGTGACAGAGAGCTCGGGTCTCTTTTGCTCTCATTCATCTTCACATTGTGGTGTGTTTTTATTTCTTAGCTTTTCACATGGTTTTAATTGCTTATGGCATTTTGTGTACTTTGTAGACTTTGTCAGCGGCAGCAAACCATGTTGCCTTCAGTATTTAGTGTCGGAGAACCGCAGCCTTCTTTACAACGCCCACAATAGGGCTAAAGCGCTAAACCAGCTGTAAAACGAATGAAATGATTCGTGCAAGATTCGTTCACGACTCGTTCACACTGTTCGAGAGTCAAAGATCCGAATCAGTAAAAAGAGTCAGTCTTCCCATCACTACTGGCATCAATTTCTTCAAAGCAACTGAGCTGCGATTTCTGCAGGCTCCTCAAAAAACGACCACGCCCTGTATACTGACTCCTTAACTCAGACTTAAGGACCTTAAAACTGCCCGGAGCAGTTTTACCCCACGGCGCATGTGGCCATAGCAACCGAGTCAGTGTCACTGTCTAGCCTGCTTCGTGAATTGTATTAGCATAATGTCAAATTGTATACATTTTTTATTTGCAGTAATTCCATCCATCCATCCATTTTCATCTGCTTATCCGTTACCGGGTCGCTGGGGCAGCAGTCGCCACCCAAATCACATTGCACCGTCCCAACCCCCCTAAACCTTCCTGCGGGTGGTGAGTCCACTGGAAGGTACCAACCCCCCTGACCGGGATTTGAACTTGCCCAGGAGGACAGAGACATTGCCTCTGGGCCAAAGCGCCACTTTCAGTAATTTGAAAAAAGCAAAATAAATAATAAGGGAGTGGGTTGAGGGAGTGGGAGGTAGCAACATATAATACCTATAATTTCTCTGACTAATTTTGCACATGCTTTCTAAATTATAATAAGCCTATATATTAATAGATTGAAGTTTTATCCAGGTACTTAACATTAACATTAACATGAAGACAACCGATTGCAGAGAGTTTGTGAGAGTATGGTAGCCACAGAGGATTACATCGTGCTATTCCTACCATTACAAAGTAACTCAATGCTGTTAACTTGGTCTGACCGTTTGTATTAATGCTGGTCCCCAGCACGGGAGGACCTATTTTCACTTTCACCTCTGTAAGGAGAAACAAACATTGTTGTTCAAGTCACTAACTCGATTTAGAGGTGAAGAAGAAATTGAGATAAACGGTTGCGACTGTGAAGCGAGAAGGGGTTTACATGAATGTTGTGTAAAGAATTTAGCATTTTTTCAGTCCTAATGACCTCTAAAGGGCCTGAAAAGTATTTGTTTTGCACCGCATGGGTGCCATTTTGTGTCTGGTTGCATCAACTATTTCAGACAATGTGAGGAAAAACTGTTTGAATGTAGCTGTCACCATTTCCTTAATGGAACAACAGCAATACAGAAGTTTTCGAAGGACACAAGTCAAGTAGAAGGTAAGATACTTACATAATTTAATAAAACAAACTTAACAAATGGAAGTTGGAAGTAGAAAAGCTAACCTGAGAGGATTTTGTAGCTTAACATATGAAGCGAAAACATTTATTGTTTAAATCTAGTAGCCTTTCCTGCCATTAATAGCAGTTTTTGAAGTGTTTGTGAAGTGTCCCATCCATAGTGTTATATTGTTTTGGTCTGGATTAGCCTTAAAGCTGAATTAATGCTTAGTACAACTGCGTTTGAGATTAGACTGAGACTAAGGTCTAAAGACAAGGATGTTGAGGTGTCACAAAACTAAACATTTGATAGTTATATAAAGTCATGGTTTTGCAGAATATAGAAGAAATGTTGTGATAGAGCACATTGTCAAGTGCTTGATGTAATGTTCTTTCCTAGCAACAAGCCTGTGATTTTTCAGCATTCATTGTAACAACTGGTTATTTCATCACATCATTATAATCAACAGTTGAAACCATGTAGATTACATGAGTCTCGTAAAGAATTATACGCATTATACCCAAGGACATTTAATTTCTTTATTAATTTTTGTAAATGTTGAGCTGGTGTACAGAGTAAATTGTCAATAGATGTCCTCAGATTTTACTTGATTAAAAGGCTTGTACATGTGTATGTATTTTAAATCATGTTCCACTTTCCATAAAGCATACAAAACTGGTTAAAATACCCAGAAGGTCCCATTTTCTTCCAGGTTGCAGGCATTACCCAGAACTCAACTGTGTCTTGGTAGCTACAGCTGTATGATGCTAAAAGTACATCCATAACATAACTCCCAGTTGACAAGTAAGGGTGCATAGCATTCTAAGTAAATATATATATTTTTACATATTTCATATATATATAAAAGAGGTCGCCGACTTTCTGCACAGTCAATTGCTACAGAGCTACAAACTTCATGTGACCTTCAGATTAGCCCAAGTACAGTACGCAGAGAGCTTCATGGAATGGGTTTCCATGGCCGAGCAGCTGCAGCCAAGCCACACATCACCAAGTGCAATGCAAAGTGTCGGATGCAATGGTGTAAAGCACGCCGCCACTGGCCTCTAGAGCAGTGGAGACGCGTTCTCTGGAGTGATGAATCACGCTTTTCCATCTGGCAATCTGATGGACGAGTCTGGGTTTGGAGGTTGCCAGGAGAACGGTACATTTCAGACTGCATTGTGCCGACTGTGAAATTTGGTGGAGGAGGAATTATGGTGTGGGGTTGTTTTTCAGGAGCTGGGCTTGGCCCCTTAGTTCCAGTGAAAGGAACTTTGAATGCTTCAGGATACCAAAACATTTTGGACAATTCCATGCTCCCAACCTTGTGGGAACAGTTTGGAGCGGGCCCCTTCCTCTTCCAACATGACTGTGCACCAGTGCACAAAGCAAGGTCCATAAAGACATGGATGACAGAGTCTGGTGTGGATGAACTTGACTGGCCTGCACAGAGTCCTGACCTGAACCCGATAGAACACCTTTGGGATGAATTAGAGCGGAGACTGAGAGCCAGGCCTTCTCGACCAACATCAGTGTGTGACCTCACCAATGCGCTTTTGGAAGAATGGTCAAAAATTCCTATAAACACTCTCCTCAACCTTGTGGACAGTCTTCCCAGAAGAGTTGAAGCTGTAATAGCTGCAAAAGGTGGACCGACATCATATTGAACTCTGGGTTAGGAATGGGATGGCACTTCAGTTCATAGTATGAGTCAAGGCAGGTGAGCGAATACTTTTGGTAATATAGTGTATATACAGTGGGTACGGAAAGTATTCAGACCCCTTTAAATTATTCACTCTTTGTTTCATTGCAGCCATTTGCTGCAATGAAACAAATGAATATACCCACTGTATATAGCCTTTTTATGATAAAAACGTTTCTGTGCATGTGCGCAGTTGCATTCCTTAGTATTAAGTATATGCTATTGTGGTAATAATATCTTCAATCCATTCTAAAGGAATATACATGTGTTCTCTATTTTTTTGCAACAGTATTTTTGCATAAACTTGATGCATGCCATCGTCTCAGTAGTCCTTAAGTGCAGGGCTTTCCCTGTCTTTATATTTCTGACCACTTCTCCTGCTGTTTGCACTTGTTTAGACACCTCCTCTCAGACTGTGTAGATAATGTCACCCTTTTGGAACCTACAGAACTAGCATGGTCTTCCTTTCCATCAAAGGGACAGAAATAAATCAGCAGTACAGGCTGTGTTGAGTAGAAATGCTTGTCATTTTGAAAGACTAGCCATCAAAGCCACCATGTCTCAACAAAGTTCCATACAACTTGAAAGTGCTTCCCCCTGCTGTCTTTTCATCAGACCCCACCCCCTCACTCTAACCCTGACATCAGCAGTGGGGTTGTAAAAAACAAAGAGTTGCTAGGAACTGATGTAAGCACAGCATAATTATGAGCCCTTAGAGAGCAAACTGTAGGACATGAGGGAGTTTGTATCATTAAATCTTTAAATCTGTCTTATAACTTGATGCTAAAATGAGAATGAACAGATGTTTTGATGGCTGAGAGTAGATACTGAGTTGAAGCATCAGAGTAAATTCTCTATTATCTACAGTACTAAAGTACAGGGCCAACACATATGACTACTTTATAACAAGACTGACATTATATCAAGACTTTACATTCATTATTTCTGGCTGTGACGCCATTCTAAACACGTATTAATAGGTGCTTTATTGCAACTGTTTTGTGAGATATGTACTTCATATTATATAATTCATTGTGTAATGAAATGTTTATTAGAGGCATACGTGTATGTTACTGTTATCACTTGAGATGTTGCGCTTATTGAGGTAAATAATTTATAAAAAAGACTCTTGTATACTCTGAGAGCTGCTGCTCTTTCTTCATACGCGATATTACTTTCTGTGATATTATCACAACATTGACATGTCCCTTCAGCCAGGACTAATACAAGGTATTAAAATCACATGCATACACACACACACGCACATGCACACACACGCACATACACACACACACACACACACACACACTACTACCAGTATTGGTTTTCTTCCAAGCTGCATACTGTATGAATGTTGTAAAGATAAAAAACAAAAAAAAAAAAACAAACAAAAAAAACAAAAAACCTGGCATTTGAACAGACATTGGGCACTTTGCAGATTGGACGTATATCAGTGATATTAGTTTGTACCCAAGCTGATATGTACAACTTAAACCTACAATATTTCACCAAATTGATAAAACTTTAGATGCTAATGTACTGACATCATTTCTAAGTGTATAGTAAGGAGTCGGCTCAAGCTGTATAAAAATAGATTTGAAGCCAGAGCTTCGGAAGAACATGAAGAACATGAACTATGATCTTCAACCCCCCCTTCTCTTCCTTCTCTAATTACACAAAATACACACAGTCTCATTCATACCAACCACGCTTCCTCTTGCAAGCAGTTATTGCTTCTTCTGAGTTACAGATAAGACGATGAAACTGTGGGAATTGAAGACAAAACAGGAGTAAAATGAGACGCGCTTCAGGAAGGGTCAGGCTCACAGTTGCGGGTCAGTTTTACAGTTTCTCATCACAGTGAATGGTAACTGTCATTGCTACACTAGAAAATTACCAAAAAGACAGACATGAGAGCTTAACACAGCCTCAACCCTTAACGCAACACTCTCCTTTCTCCAACCATCTCTTTAACACAGCCTCACCACTGATACATTACTACCAGGATTTTAGCTACTTCAACCTCATCAAGTGACATCTAGTGGCAATGAGATGGTCTGAATGAGTGCCGAATGATTTAATGAATCAATTAAAGCTTTCCCTCTACAGCTGGTAAAAGCACATGGTAAAGCACAAAGAAAACAAAAAAGCACAGAAACCTGATGTTTGAAACAGGCAGAGCAATACAACATTTGTATGTTCTTCTACCCACAAAGATCATAATATATATAGCATAACACATATATTCAGAGCAAACAAACCAAACAAGGAAAACAAGGAAAACTGTACCTGAAACAGCAGCATCAGTGGCATCACGTAGGGATCGTATTACTGAAACAACACACTGAAGACTGTTACGTAGAGCTTTTTAGTGCATTAATAGTATGTACATCAATATCCTTGGGTGATCGTTCTAGCTTCACTTGACTTGACACTGGGACAGATAGTTAACTGAAAAGCAGTGTGACAGATTGGAGGCGTTGTAACCTGTTGCCTAGAGATGATGTAATCCATATTATATTAATCTTTTTGTTCATTCTTTATTTTAACAGACAGGATTTCCTTGATTTAGAAAATGGGACAGTGATTGACCCAACCATTCATTGCATGCCTGTCCTATACAGTTGTGTCTCCTCCCCATGTTTCCCCACTCTTATACCCCACACCCCCATGTATACCCTCAGTATTTGAAATTAAAGACAAAACATGTGGCAGCAGTCACTCATGCTCATACAGATAACAGGAAGCACGTTTCGGTTGCTAGGTTTTTTTGTGTGTGTGTGTATTTTCTTTGTTTTTATATACGAAATCATGCTTCTAGCCTAGTAATAGATGTTTTTTTCCCCCCAATGGATCCTTTAAAAAAAGTTACTAAAAAGTGTATCCATATTCTTCTCTTCTGGCACGTGCTGATAGTTGGCATAGCCACCATGGGTATCACTGGGTTGGTTTTGTAGCTGTTCATCATTTGTTTTGTTTTTTCTGTGTGTTCTTCTTCGTCTCAGCTACTTCTGGTCATTTGTCCATATAGGATGGTTTTGGTGAGGGGATTGAATCTGGCTGAGAACTCTATAGAAAAGTAAAGAAAGAAGAAATCAGGATACATTAAACATTTGTCTTTTCACTGCACAACAAAGGTTTTAATAGTTAATATTCAGCACATAGCATGCAAGCTGCAGCATGTGAGTGCAGATGTGATCTTTCTTTTAAGTTAAATTATAAACCTAATTATTTTAGGAATGCAGTGGAAACCCCTGTAAAAATCTTTATTGGTTTGAGGACAGAGCATACTAATTATTGCTAATTTGCTGGTAAAGTTTTAGCTTCTTGCTGTCAGTAAGACTTCAGCTGCTTAACAGTCTTTGGTCACCATTGCCAGATTTCATCATCTTCATTATACCCCAGATTTTTTTTAATGGAAAACAAATCTGGCCTGTGTACAGGAGTGTGTTGTTTTTGGATGTAGTAATGCTTAACCCTTGTAAGGTCCTTCCGGTCAATATGTCGTGTGTGTGTGTGTGTGTGTGTGTGTGTGTGTGCGTGTGTGAGTATGCGTGCGTGTGCATGTTCCTGTACTGCATGACTTGTGCCAACCTTTTCCTCATATTCATTGATACTCATATTCTGGGACAAGATGAAAATCATTGCAAGGACAAACGGTGTGTACAAAAATGTGAAGGACCGCACAAGGATTAAGAATCTGACGTTCATCCATATTTATCAGATGTTTTCACCATTGGCATAAATTCTAAGAGATTTCTTCTGAACCCTTTTATGTGATTATAAGTACAGATAGTGACATGTAAAATCAATGTTTTTAAATCAACACATTTCTATACCCTTAGCTATGTCAGTGAGAAATATTGTAATTGTGCTTTTGCTTGGTTAAAAAAAGGACAATTTACTACAGCAGTGATATATTTTTTCCCTAGAATGCTGACTTTTCTGCAAATGGGGTTTGCATGATACCAGATTTGTCTTTCCAAAAGATCTGAAATTAGTCTTAGTTTTATCCTTATGTATTAGTATAGTCATTAGTTTGGCAAAAGCAAAAAAAAAAAACAAAAATGGTTGGCAAAAGTAGTTTAGCATTCAGCAGTAAGTTGGTGAAAATATCAATGACTTCAGCAATGTCATGGCTTTTACATTAGAAAGGGCAAGTCCCTTTTACTGCCTCACACGCGCACACACATACAGTACATAGACACAGAGATCACACACTCAGCTTTGCAGTTGTGACCTTGAGAGGTGTCTTTTACAAGATCTTTTCTCGGCTGGTTTGTTTTGTTGAGTGCACATTGTGCCAACCCTTTTTTCCCCAAATGCACGGCAAAACAGATAGACCTAAAGTAATTTTGTGCAAAACTAATAATCAATTGCATTAGACACTGTGTATGGAATTATAGTAGAATGATTCTATAAATGCACAATAGGAAATGTTCAATAAAGATGTATTTTGAGTTAGATAGGAAATAACCTTAGCCAAATAGTCAAACTAATGAACTGACTCCTTGAGTGATTCACATATATAACTCCATACACACCTGAAATTGAGCAGTTTTATAACTGGTTTATTTACAAAGCACTGTATATAATATTGTCAGGTTTTTCAATTTCCACAAATGAGAAGTCACTGCATCAAACTGAACTTTATATCAACAGACTGGATGTTAGTTGAGTTAGCAGCTTTCTCTATCTGGCCAAGAGAAAATTCCTTTTTATATGTTTGTACAGTGAAGGAAGATTATAGTAAAGAATATTTGTTTAAGCCGTCAAGATTGAATTATTGTACTATTAGTAAACCTGTTTATGTGCTTGTTGTTTTGCTGTACCAATCTCACTTTACATATCATTTGTATTGAAATAAAGGCACATTCAGCTACATTTAACTCAGTGAGACCGGATTAAATGATTAGTCCCATACCTGAGGGGACGCTGCACTCAGTCTGCTTCACTGCTTAACTCTCCGCAGACTGGCACATTTCACTATTTGAGCACCTTTCTTCACATCCACAGTATCGGGAGAGGGAGTTAGCGGCAGGAATTTAGAGGAGGTGGCAAGAGCAAAAGAAGAGTTGCAGGGAATATTAGTATAGGACAGTTAAATAAAATGAAGTAGACAGGAAAAGAAAGTTGTGATATAAAGGCAGAAGAGGAAAATGGTGCCAAAGTGACCAAACACAAGACAGAAATATAAGGAACAGGTATGAGAAAGAAACATGAGAAGGGGGAGGAAAGAGGGAAGAAAAGACGCAAATTGAAAAACAGTCAAGCCAGGACAGAAGTGATGGGTGGCAGCTGAAGATAAGATTGGAAATGCAATATTAAGGAGGAAATCTGGTTGAGTTGTCATTTCAGTACTTCAGAAAGTACTGTCTGCAGGAAAGACAATATAAAAATAAGAAGAAAATTTAAGGCCATATAGACCAAGTTGTTAATCATCAATCTGTATCTGTGATAAAACTAATGCTTATTAAGTAATGTTATTGTCTTGAGGACCAGATTTCTCCTTAAAACCAATATTTATTGCAATTAATACTGGATCCAACTTTTATGGTTTAAGTGACAGAGCACACAGTCACAGTTGAAGGACTACAAACTTTAATGAAGGAAGAAAACAGAATGTTTGGAAAAGGCGAGAAATGAAAATAGATGCACTTTCACTTTATATGTGTGTTTCTTGGACAATCGTGTGGATGAATTGACTGTGGGATGTGGCAGTGGTTATAAGTCAGGGGTCGGCAACCCAAAATGTTCAAAGAGCCATATTGGACCAAAAAGAAAAAACAAAAAAACAAATCTGTCTGGAGCTGCAACAAATTAAAAGCCTTATATAAGCCTTATATGAAGGCAACACATCTGTAAGTGTACATCTGTACATCTGTAAACTGTGTTATACACTGTGTATAAAAACTGTGTGTTGCATTTATGAAATCAATGAACTGCTGCAGAGAACACAGAATTTTATTTCTGCATGTAACAAAAACATTTTAAACTTGAAAGAAAGACACATGGTTGATGTTGACTTTCACAAAATATTTGAGTCCTCCTCGTATTTAGGAAATAAAAATCCACAATTATCCAACTGCAGTGAACCAAAAATGCAAAATGTCGTCTGCTTCTGTGTTCTAACAGTTTATTGCGTGTACTGGAGCGTGCAGTCAGATATGTATATATAGTATATGGAAAATAATCATTGAATGTAATAATCATTGAATGTAATAATCATGAAACAGTCATTTCATTCATTATGCCTGCTACCCCTCCTGGGGCATAGGCCGCCTACAAGGGTCATCCAGGCATCTCTGGCCTGTGCCAGTCTCTCAAGCTGTTCCCAAGTGTAGCCTGTTTTCTTTCGGTCGGCATCCAGGTCGCGGTGCCAGGTGTTTTTTGGCCTGCCTTGCTTCCTCTTGCCTTTGGGGTTCCACGTCAGCGCTTGCCTTGTGGTGTTGGAGAGCAACCTTCGCAGAGTATGTCCAAGCCATCTCCAGCGTCTCTGGAGGATTGTTTCATCCACCGGCTGTTGTTTGGTCCGCTGCCAAAGGTCTAGATTGCTGATGGTTTTGGGCCAGTGGATGCGAAGAATCTGTCATAAGCCGGTGTTGATAAACGTTGGGATCTTTTTGGTGTTTGCCAATGTGGTCTTCCAGGTTTCAGCTCCATACAGCAGCACTGACTTCACGTTGGAATTAAAGAGTCTGATCTTGGTGTGGACTGAGTAGCTTCCAGACTTCCAGATGTTCCGCAGCTTGACAAAGGCTCCTCTTGCTTTGCCTATTCTGGCCTTTAGGTCAGCGTCAGTTCCTCCCTGCTTATCGATGATGCTTCCGAGGTAGGTGAAATTATCCACCTCTTCTAGTGCATCTCCTTCAATGTTCAGGCCCACCTGTGCTGATGTCTGTGGTGCTGTGGTCTTGTCTTGCATTTGCTGGTGGGTGTGGTAGTAGAGCGAGGTCGTCATCAAAATCCAGGTCGTCCAACCGTTTCCACCGCATCCACTGTATTCCGTTCCGCCGTTCTGACGTTGAGGTCTTCATCACCCAATCCATTGCTAGCAGGAACAGTATCGGGGACAGCAAGCATCCTTGTCTCACCCCTGTTCTCACTTGGAAGGCGTCCGTGAGGTGTTGACCATCGATTACTCTGCAGGTCATTCCTTCATACGAGTTTTTGATAATGTTGGTGACCTTCTCTGGACCTCCATAGTGTCTCAGCGGTTTCCATAAGGTTCTTCTGTCTACACTGTCGAACGCCTTCTCGAAGTCGATGAAATTGACGTAAAGAGGGGAGTTCCATTCCAAGGACTGCTCCAAGATTATCCTCAGTGTGGTGATCTGGTCCGTGCACGATCATTCCTTTCGGAAGTCAGCCTGTTGGTCCTGTAGCTGTGTGTCTACTGCATCTTTCATTCTATTGAGGATGACTTTGTTGAAAACCCTGCTTGGAATGGATAGCAGAGTAATTGCCAAATGCATACCTTTTCATGCTCATGTACAGTGGTATGAAAAAGTTTGGGCACCCCGATCATTTTCAAGATTTTCCTTTATGGATCATTGGTTGTCTGGAACAGCAATTTCAATTAAATATATCATATAGCAAACAAACACAGTGATATTTCCATCCATCCATTTTCATCCACTTATCCGTTACCGGTGGCAGCAGTCTCCACCCA